AAATCTTTATATGACCCATTGTCCTTTGGTTGACTGTTGTAGAGGGCTAATAACCTGTTTATCTTGCTAGTGTCAAGAACAAGATGAGCTCTCTGACAACTTTTTCATCTTCATTCTCATTTTCTGTCTGAGGACTCAAGAAATGTAGCCTGTGGTAGCAGCTTTAATTGGCTTTGTTTTTCAGGTGATTATCTTTCAGGTAATACTGACGAACCGCACGTTGCAGGTGGGAGCACCATTTGTTGCAGCTACATAATCCAGTTCAGTATCTTTTTCAAAAATACCTGGCCATAAACTAACTGGCCCCTCAGCTGCCTTTTTCTCAGCTGGCAGTCTGTCCAGACTGTGCCCACTCATTTGCCTACCTGTATGCCAGCTGTTATAGAAACACCTGTGACACTAAGATGGATAAGCAATTCAAACTAACTTCCCTCAAGAATAACCAGGCTATGATGTGGCCAGAATATTTGTCTGGATGAACATTTTGGACACTTCGTATTGACTTAATAGATATTACAAAACTCTCAAAGATGTCGCTAAAATCCTAAATACGTCAAGTATCCCAAACAAATATTGTTAACCCTGTGATTGCATTTTATGTTTAACTACAATTAGCTGTAGATGTAGATGAATGATGGGTCATAAACTAAATGAGGGCTTGATGTTAGATTTGGGAGAGTACAGAGTTTTGGAAGTGTACAGCCTGCGTGAAAAAACCAATTTAATCACTGGATGTCATCCATTGGTTATTGAATCGCAATTTTAAAGCTTTAACATTCATGTTTTGGTTACTGCCATGTTTGCTTTTCTGAGCCAGAAGTGACCATATTTGGATGAAAGACTGTAAACTAGCTAGCTATCTTTAGTTAGTAGCCGCATCTGTTCAAAACAGTCAGAGCCGCAAAGAGCGGTAAGAGCCAAGATGGGGTCTCTGCATCATAGAAATAAAACCTAGTGTACCACATTAGCTACCTAACACTGTTCTCACATGGCAGAGTTTCTTATTGTAAAATGTTGGCCATTTTATCTGTCGAGAGTATTCACCACTGTTATTGTAGTCGTTTAAGTAGCTTACGACGCTAATGCTAAGTCTACTGAGGCAATTGGAGGGCTACACAACATCATCAGTGAGCTAAACTAAACACCTGGATAGCTTTGTAGTGATTGCAGGAGATTTTAACCACAACAGTTTAAAGGCTGTGCTCCCCAAGTTCAAGCAATGTGTGGATTTTAAAACCAGAGGAGGGAGCATGCTGGACTTTGTGTATACAAACCACCCAGATGCATGCAAGACTACCCCCACACACACACACACCTCGGCTGCTCTGATCAACTTTTCATTATGCTGGTGCCTGCTTACAAACCACTTCTGAGGCATAGCAGGCCAGTAATGAAACTGTCACGGATGCCAAGGCGAGCCGTGTGGTGTTGGAGGGAGAAAGGACCCAAAATGCAGGCAGTAGATGATAATGCTAGTGATGTTTATTTACAAAGTGGTGTAGTGGCAAAACAAGCAATGAGGGATGACAAATAACTAAAGAAACCTAAACTGGGAAAACTAAATAACAAACCTGAGATGATACCAAACAGTGTGAGAGGAAGAGAGACGCAGACAAGGAAAAGGACACCGTGGAATACAGACGAACCGGCAACAGGCAGGAGAACACACAGGAGTCCAAAAACAACCAAAAGAAACCCCCCGAAGCACAGAGAGCAGATCCAAAACAGTTCGCGAGGCCGACCCGGAGGACAGCAGCAGTCCAGAACAGTTCATCTCCGGAGGCCTCCGGAGGCCGGCCACGCAGAAGGCAGTGGTGACGGCGACACAAGTCCGGAGGCCGGCCACGCGGAAGGCAGCGGCAGCGTTCAGGAGGTCGTCCACAGTGGCGATGATGGCCAACAAGCGGCCTGGCAGATGACCGACGTTGGTGAGGCGGCAGTTGGGGACCTGAAGGCGCCATGGCCCCTGCAGCACCAGGCGAGGCAGAAGCTGAAGCGGAGGCTGCTGCAGGCGAAGCGGAGGATGCTGCTGCTGCAGGCGAAGCGGAGGATGCTGCTGCTGCAGGCGAGGGTGAATGATGCTGATGCTGCAGGCGAGGGTGGCACTGCAGGCGAGGATGATGGCCGGACGGGCTCCTCGGATCCCCCAGCAAAAACAGTCACAGAACCAATGCTAGTGATGTTTATTAACAAAGTGGCGTAGTGGCAAAACAGGCAATGAGGGATGACAAATAACTAAAGAAACCTAAACTGGGAAAACATGTCCACCACCTTACACTCGGTCATCACCCATCTGGACCTGAAAGATACCTTCACCAGACTCCTGTACATTGGGTTTAGCTCATGATTTCACAGAGACTAATAGAGAAACTCTCCTTACTTGCCTGAACACCACCATATGTCTCTGGATCCTGGTCTTCCTGATTGAGAGACCTCAGTCTCTCCATGTTGGGAAAAACATCTCCAAGCCTATTACACTGAACACTGGATCTTCTCAAGGCTGTGTTCTCAGCCCACTGTTGTTTATGCTGCTAACATACATCTGTGTATCTAGATATGAGGGTAACCTAATCATTAAGTTCGAATATGATACCACAGTGGTGGGACTGATTCGCGGAAATGATGAATCATTGCATTGAAAAAAAGTTGAACACCTTGAGGGCTGGTGTAGGGAGAACCATCTGGTGCTAAATGGAGCCGAAACATAAAAGGTGATCATCGACTTTCACAAGGTGTGGATCAAGCATGCTCCCCCCCTTCAGCATCAGCGGCCAATCAGTAGAGGGAGAGGAAGATGTCAGGTTCCTAGATGTGGAGATCTTGCGAGGTCTGAACTAGCATCAGAAAATCTCAGTGACCCAAAAATCGGCCCAGCAAAGAAAGGAGTTTGAAACAAGTCCCTCTCCTCACCAGCATCCTCAGAATGTTTTAAGTGGAGTGGTTGAGTGTTCTAACATAATGTGTGTCAGCGTGGTATTCTACCTGCAGTATGTCAGACAACACATGACTGCAGAGACTAGTTGGAGCAGCCAAGAGTTTCCTTTCCTCTGTCCAAGACCTCTTCCAGAGATTCTGCAGGAGTAGGCCACTAAACATCATAAAGGACCCCTCACACCGTATCCATAAATGTTCTTAACTGATGCCATCAGGCAAACGGTTCCACGTTAAAAGAGGCTGAACCTACAGACT